CCAAAATTGAAAGCTAAGATCCACGTTTTTTTAGAAATTTTGCAAGTTTTGAGGCCTGGTGTCGAAAAGAATTTAAATTTTAGGAAATACATCTCGGGGTCATATAATTCCGTTTAGAACCATTTATATTGTCATAAATGTTCGTGGTAGGCTTGATTTAATGAAATCAATGCAAGTTGTAAACCGGTAAATTGACCGTTTAAAGACAATTTGGATAGTTCAACCCACCCAATTGGACTCCCGGAGGGTATTGGGAACCATGGTAAAAATTTTGGCAATTTTTATTTGTGGGCGAAAAAAAGTCAAAAAATTCAAAAACTGAATGCTTATATATCCACGCTTTTTGAGTTTGGAGGTTTCTGGTCAATGTGTCGAAAAGTCTTGAGATTTTAAAGTACACGTCTCGGGGTCATATAATGACGTTTGGAACCATATATGATCATTATATGTTGTCATAAATGTTCGTGGTAGGCTTGAATTAATGAAATCGATGCAAATTGTAAATCAATAAATTGGCATTTTAAAGGCAAATTGAATTGTTCCACCAACCCAATTGGAATCCCGGAGGGTATTAGTAACCATAGCAAACATTTCGGCAATTTATATTTCCGGGCGAAAAGAAGTCGAAAATTTTCAAAATTGAAGTCTAATATCCACAGTTTTTGGGAAATTTTAAAGGTTTCGGGGCCCGATGTCGAAAACTCTTGAAATTCTAGGGGATATATCTCGTGGTCAAATAATGTCGTTTGGATCCATATATGATCATTATTTTTTGTCTTAAATGTTTGTGGTAGGCTTGAATTAATGAAATCAGTGCAAGTTGTAAACAGGTAAATTGGATGGTTCCACCCACTCAATTGGACTCTCGGAGGGTATTAGGGACCATGGTAAACATTTCGTCAATATTTATTTCCAGGCAAAATAAAGTCAAAAATTCCAAAATTGAAGTCTAATATCTACGCTTTTTGAGAAATTTTGGAGGTTTCGGGGCATGTTAGCGAAAAGAATCGAGATTTTAGGGATACATCTCAGGGCATATAATGTCGTTTGGAATCATATATAATCATTAAATGTTGTCATAAATGTTCGTGGTAGGCTTGAATTAATGAAATAGGTGCAAGTTGTAAATCGGTAAATTGGTCGTTTATAGGCAAATTGGTTGGTTCCACCTACCCAATTGGACTCCCGGAGGGTATTGGGGACCATGGTAAATATTTCGTCAATTTTTATTTTCGGGCTAAAAAAAGTAAAAAAAAAAAAAAAATCAAAAACAGTAGGCTAATTATCCACGCTTTTTATGAAATTTTGGAGTCCTTGCGGCCCGGCGTCTAAAAATCTTAAAATTTATAGGGAATAAATCTCGTGGTCATATAATGTCCTTTGGACCCATATATGATCATTATTTGTTGTCGTAAATGTTCGTGTTAGGCTTTAATTAATGAAATCGTTGCAAGTTATAAACCGGTAAATTGGTCGTTTAAAGGAAAATTGATGGTTCCACACACCCAATTGGAATCCCAGGAGGTATTAGGGACTGGTAAACATTTCGATAATTTCTTTTTCCGTGAGAAAAAAAGTCAAAAAATTCCAAAATTAAAGACTAATATCCACACTTTTTGAGAAATTTTGGAGTTTTCGGGGCCCGGTGTCGAAAAGTCTTGAAATTATAGGGGATATATCTCAAGGTCATATAATGCCGTTTAAAACCATATATGATCATTATATGTTGTCATAAATGTTCGTGGTAAGCTTGAAGTAATGAAATCGGTGCAAGTTGTAATTCAGTAAATTGACCGTATAAAGGCAAATTGGATCGTTCCACCCACCAAATTGGACTTCTAGAGGATACAAGGGATCATGGTAAATATTTCAGTAATTTTTATTTCAGGGTGAAAAAAGGTCGAAAAATTCTAAAATTGAAGGCTAATATCCACGCTTTTTGAGAAATTTTGGAGATTTCAAGGCCCAATTGCAAAAAGAATCGAAAATTTAAGGGATACATCTCGGGATCATATAATGTCGTTTGGAATCATATATAATCATTATATGCTGTCAAAAATGATCATGGTATGTTTGAGTTAATGAAATCGGTGTAAGTTGTTTACCGGTAAATTGACCGTTTAAAGGCAAATTGGATGGTTCCATCCACCCAATTGGACTCTCGAAGGTATTAGGGGTCATGGTAAACAATTCGGGAATTTTTATTTCTGGGCGCAAAAAAGTAAAATAATTCCAAAATTGAAGGCTAATATCCACACTTTTTTAGAAATTTTGAAGTCTTCGTGGCCAGGTGTTGAAAAGTCTTGAAATTCTAAGGAATACATCATGGGGTCATATAATGTCTTTTGGAACCATATATGCTCATTATTTGTTGTCATTAATGTTCGTGGTAGGCTTGAATTAATGAAATCGGTGCAAGTTGTAAACCGGTAAATTGGTCGTTTAAATTCATATAGGATGGTTCCACCCACCCAAGTAAACTCTCGAAGGATATTAGGGACCATGGTAAAAATTTCGGCAATTTTTATTCACGGGCGAAAAAAATAAAAATATTCCAAAATTAAGGCTAATATCCACGCTTTTTGAGAAATTTTTGAAGTTTCGGGGCCCGGTGTCGAAAAGCCTTTAGATTATAGGGGATACATCTCGGGGTCATATAATGCCATTTGGTACCATATATGATCATTATATGTTGTCATAAATGTTTGTGGTGGACTTGAGTTAATGGAATCGGCCCAAGTTGTAAACTAGTAAATTGGTCGTTTAAAGGCAAATTGTATGGTTTCATCCACCGAATTGGACTACTAGAGGGTATTAAGGATCGTGGTAAATATTTCGGCAAATTTATTTTCGGGCGATAAAAAGTCAAAATTTTCCAAAATTGAAGGCTAATGTCCACAATTTTTGAGAAATTTTGGAGGTTTCGAGGCCCGGTGTCAAAAAGTCTTGAGAATAGGAATACATATGGGGGTCATATAATGCCGTTTGAAACCATATATGATCATTATATGTTGTCATATATGTTCGTGGTAGGCTTGAGTTAATGAAATCGGTGCAAATTGTAAACCAGTAAATTGGCCGTTTAAAGACAAATTGGATGGTTCCACCCACCCAATTGGACTCCCGGAGGGTATTAGAGACCATGGTAAACTTTTCGGCAATTTTTATTTTCGGGCGAAAAAAGTCAAAAAAAAAATTCCAAAATTGAAGGCTAATATCCACGCTTATTGAGAAATTTTGAATGTTTCGAGGCCCGGTGTCGAAAAACATTGAGATTTTAGGGGGATACATCTCGGGGTCATATAATGCTGTTTGGAACCATATATGATCATTATATGTTGTCATAAATATTCGTGATAGGTTTGAGTTAATGAAATCGGTGCGAGTTGTAAACCTGTAAATTGGTTGTTTAAAGGCAAAGTAGATGGTTCCACCCAGGCAATTGGACTTCCGAAGAGTATTAGAGACCGGTAAACATTTCTATTCTACCATTTTTTTTTCTCTACCAATGGTTAACCATTCACAACTAACCATGAAATGTCAAATGAAACAAAATGAAATTGGTAAAAGTGCCTATATGTCACTTTCTTCATTGTCTATTACCGATTACCGTTTGTAAATGTTTAGAACCTGCAAAACATAACAAGGAAAACAATCCAAAACAGATTGAAACCCAAAGTTCCAAGGTATTCATGTACCCTAATTTTTATTTTTATTTTATTGTAATTTACTAATTTTTTGTACAATTATTAATTAATTGTACTAGGTAATTAGGTTAAGTACTATAATCAAATGAAGGGTATCATATATGTTATGTACAGAGTATTATAATGTTGACTGTTAGGGGTACGCATGAAATCAAGGCCGGCCCTCAAATTCCGTCGGCTTATATGTTGTCGCCACTAACATTATTGTTAATTCATTAATTAAGTTTAGCTTAGCTAATTAGGTTTAAAAGTTGCAAACGTCATGTAATGGGATCCTAAATTTTGGGGGGACCATCTAAAAGGTTGTGTATATACCCCCGATTTGGGAGGCCATACCCCCTTAATGGCCTTTATAATCTGGTCAATTAGTGCCTAATTATTGATTTTATTGCAATTTGTCATATAATTTGTGTGACCTTTTGGTTGAAATTGAGTTATAGCTCACTAAAGAATCATGTTTAATAAAGTTCTGCCAATGATCTTAAACTTATTATAATTGCTACAGATTTATAAAGTGATGCACTACTTTGCAGTATTGTTTCATTATCATTAGATGATGTGAATTTCAATATAAAATTTTTTGTTGAAATGTCAAGTCAAGCAACAAACTTACAAAAGTTGAATCAAATGTATGGGATGTCAAGAAACAAGTATTTTAAACAAAAGGGTAAATAATCACATGTTAAGGATTTAACTCCTAACCCAAATTATATACTACCTTAGTTAACTTTTAGTTGCAACTTTGGAATATTTAATATCTCACAAATAATACCCAAAGTTGCAACTAAAACACGGAGGTAGTACAAATATGATTAATTTTTTTGTGATCCTATATACCAAGGACTGACTATATAATACCCCGTGTTGGACTAGCTATCTTATAGTCAAGCTCGAGTGAGCTAGGTGTAGGGCTAGATAAGGGAGAGGGAGCCTCATGCTTCTTTCTATGAAGCTCCAAGGGAATGTCCATTCCTCCCAAGCTAGGTTCCTCCATATTCCAAGTTTGATAGACCAACCAAATGACACGGAGTAGGTTCTAAAGCGGGTTTTACTAAAGTCAAAAAATATTTGTGGAAAGTTAATTATATGTTCAACTCTACATGTTAGCAAGTTGGAAGAATCCCCATCCCTAGTAAGGAAAGTCAAACTGTGAAGAATAAAACTCAAGAACAAAGTCCTATACACAACTTGTGATTACATAGATTGGTTAGATCATGCTCAGTTCTGAAATAATTATGCATTTGAACTATTGTCCAAATTAACCTCAGTAGTTGAATGTGTAGCTCGCGAACATACAAAAACAGAAAGGTTTCAGAATTTTATCGGCTGGCTTAAGAAAAATGTCAAAATGTATACAATCAGGTCGTAACTGACAAGGCAAAGACAGATGGAAAAACAGACTTAAATCTACACAAGGGGGAAAAACAGACTTAAATCTACACAAGGGTAACTAGATTACAGAGGGGGCCAGGAAACAAATTATTACACAATCCAAGCCACATAGCGTCATGAAAAAGGGAGTCACAAGCATGTAACACTAACATCATACAAAATTGCCAATAGCAGCTACAAAGAGAATCTCCTGTTATACCTTATCTAAAGCTACAAGTTAATTAACAAGCAGGCTGTACAAAACCCATGCATAAAATCTACTCATACCTTTCTTGCCATTCAGGATGATCTCAATATCACCATTTAGGACACAATCATTCAGGTTGTAGTCCGGAAATTATTTGCCTTTACGACGCTTCTGTGTTCCAGCACAGTCGGAGCAATACCATTTCCCCTTTGGCTTCTCTTTTAAACCAACACATCCAAAATGGAACCATTCGATCCTGCACTGCAAGAACAACATAATGGCCATGGTTAGAACATAGTTACGAATAAAATGGGGTGATGATAATTTAAATAAACAACTTACATCAGGATTATCACATGCAACCATCTCGCCATAGCTGACTTGATTACATAGACAATAAGTGGGTTCATTAGGATCAACTGGTATATCCAAGTCCATGCTTGGTGGATTTGCAGGAGCTGTGGCAGCGGCTGCTGCAGCAGCAGCAAGACGTGTTCTGCAACAACAAAAAGTCATATTCAATGGTAAAACTTCCCACAAACATAAAAATAAAAATAAAAAAATATTAAAAAGCAATCCTCACAAAAAACAAGCAACAAAACACAAGTGGCTTAGGTGATTAGCAGAAATATTATATTTCTTTCTTTACAAGGGAAAAAAAAAAAAAAAAAAAAAAAAAAAAAAAAAAAAAAAAAAAAAACTGTTTCTGAACAATAGTTCATATAGGGAGCAAGAAAAAAGGATTTGGAAAACCAACTAAGTGCAAGTGCTGATGATCCAGAAAAACTGGTGATCAATTAACTAAAAAGGTAACTAAAGCAAGATAAATTGAACATTTACTAAGTGCAAGTAGTATACTTTTTACGTCCCCCTCTTCCACCTTCACTGCTTCTTCCAGTTTTTGTGCTACCATCACCACTTGCATCGGATGAAGCAGGAGCAGATGCAAGCTCTTTCTCTGAGAAAAGCAAGGTCATTTTTGTAAAAACAAGTGGAATAGTTCCACAGATGCTGCAGTTACCAGGTCTACTAAGGGAGAAAAAGAAAAGGTAAAAGTCAGAATACCTCGTCGATTCTCCTCCTCAGATGTCTTCAGATACTGGTCAAGCTGTTGAATGTGTGCATCCACCTTTGTTAACAAATTCAACATCGCAAAATAAAGGGAAAAAATTAGCGGGAAAAACAAAAAACTTCCAAAAATTATAATGACGGAAAGTTTATAGCATTGATCCTAACATGACTACAGATAACAAAGTGTCTTTTCTATCTTGATTCATGATCTTTTGCGTCAGCTGAAGGCTGGAGCACATGGTGACAGCAATTGGCCCTTTCTCAGACGAATGCATTGTCAACTATTTCTAAAAAGGAGAGAAAATGTGAAGCTTATATGGTACAAGATGTTAGCAGCTTGCCAGCTTTTAATAACTCTTTGAAGATGTAAGATCATGTAAAAGGAGACTGCATGAAAAGAGTATGCCAAAAGAACCAAGGTAATCAGGAAAGACTTGTTCGAGTTGTTCCTTCTAAAGCTTATTCAAGATACAGGTTTTGATAGTAAACTGTACCCCTCAGTAGTTGACTCCCCAAGCAGTGAGGTCCCTCATATTTTTTTCCTTAATTTGGATTTTTTTTTTTATTATTTTATTTGGTGGCATGTGCTTCTTCCTCTTCACCCTCCAGCAAATCCAGTTCGCGCATAGTGCCTCTACCTTCATGAATATCAAATGCTTGAAACAGTTCTCATTGCACGAAAGGTCCCAAGATGGATAAATGTCGCTGTAGTTACCAAATTTTTATTTTCAAAGTATCAAAATATATTCACTAGTTTCAAATTTTCTATTTTCAAGAAAAGTATCATTATGACACTGAAAGTGCCTGCTGAATCCAGCTGTGATGTGTAGTGTTCCTAAATGAGATCACTAGTGCTAGAAGCTAGCAAATCCCTTTTTTTTTTTTTTGGGAGGGCATGACAATTAAGTTCCCCTAGAATGAAATTTAAGAAATGAGTCAAACATGATATTGATAAACTGCGCAGCTTCAATCATTTGAAGGAAATAGGGAAAGTAGATATAAGCCATACCAAATCATATGCCTGGACAGCCAAAGCAACCTTTTCATCAGCAATCCTGACACTGTGCTTCTGCTCATCAAGTGCTTCATCTGAGAATCTGATGCCGGATGACTCTGGTGTAATAGAACCAGATAGCAATCTCTGCTTAATATCTTCTATTTCTTGCTCGCAGCGCTGTTCATTCTGCCGCAGAATGCCTGTCAAGACAATACCAACGACCATGATGCCCCCACCCAAAAAAATAGAAAGCAGTTCAGGTTGGGAACATTTTCTCTAAGATAAAACAAGAGCAGAGAGAGATAACTTGAGCAATCGCTATAGTAGGGAAAAGGAAGTGATAATTTCAAAGTCTAGAAGCTTGTTTTTTTTTAAAGACATGCATAAAAATAAGAGCAGAGACAACTAACTGCAGCAAGTAATGAAGAAAGGAAAAGGAAGTAATAAAATCAAAAGTCTGAAAGTAAGAATATCAAAACACAATTACTAACAAACCTTGTAAACTTTTGTCAAGATCGCGTAGCAATGCATATTTCCTCTGCAGGATATTTGGAAGCAACTCAAGATCTGCATAAAGTCAACATACAAAACCATTAGAACGTGGATTAATAATAGAAACTCTATCAAAAACAATTTCCCTGCTGTGACATGAGTAAAGAAACTTCTACATCCTCTATAATTTCATGACAAAGTAAAAACCTGAAAGTCCCAATCTAAACACAAAAACAAGAATTGTTGAACACAATTTCAGTATAAATGTTTGTCAAATTCATAAGATACACAAAAAATGTCTTACACATGAAAAACTGAGAAATCATATGTTCGCCAAATGATCGAGATAAAGATAAACTACTTAAACATTCAGCTTATGAAAATCTATAATATCCTACCTCCAAGCTCAACAACTAATATGAATTGCCTACACTGTCAACAAGCAATGTCGCTAAACAAATACGATTGCTGGACACAAATGCACGGACATAATATGCCAAATCATTGAGTTCTTTGCAATAATTGTAGCGTAAATCATACATAATGCTGCTCCACAACACCTTTTGACAACGCTTATGGATTAGATTTTCATTCTTATTTCGCAAAATCCTATCGACAAATAATGCTTAATACCCACTAACCACGACCCTTCACCCCCATCCCCCCCAAATTTCCCAGAATTTATCTAATTCAGCTATGTCCTAATTTTGGGCTACCAGTGAAACTATCATGACAACAATTTCTGACAGTGGTCAGTTCAATGTTCCGCAATTACTTACTTGTAAAAATTTACAAATTAACCATTAAAAAAATCAAACGGAACTTTAAAAACCATCATATAATTGAAAATGTCGGCTTTTAGGGTTTTTGTTATGCAAAAATCACCTTTCAATTCTATCAATTTCGAGCAAGGATGAAGAGAATTAGACATAATTATGAACAATTTACAACAAATCAACCAGAAATCAAAGATAAGTTACGAATTAAGGGATTTTCAGGCATTTATTAATCAAATCATAAAAAATTAGGGTTTGATACAAGAGATTAAACTTTTTAAATGAATCATTGTGCAAAAATCTAAAAACTTACTGGCTTGAAATTCGTCGAGAAAAGACGTCATCGGAAAAATTAGGTTTTATTCCCGCCAGGATTAATAGCTCAGGTACGAGGTTATAGGATCGTATTCTGCAAATTAACGATGGCGGGTTAATTTCAAGGTTCCTTTTTTTTTTTTTTCCCCCTCTTAACAGGTTCGGTTTAACGGGTGCGGTAAACAGAAGCTGCAAGTTTTGCAACCTCACGTCCTCACGTAGTCACGTATGAATTGGATACTTAGATGAGAGGTGTCAAAAGCATACCCGACTCGATTCAATCCAAAACTGATTCAGATTTGGACTCACGTGGACATAATAATTTAATATGACTTAACTTTAAAAATTTACCCGACACGACCTGATCATATCCGATCCGATCCGATCATCCGAATTAACACCCCTATTTGGATATGATTATATGAGACTTATGAGTTATGTGAACTTATGACTTTAGCTTGGTTGATTAGTTATTCAAAGATGTTGTGTTCATTCAAAAAAAAAAAAAAAAAAAAAAAAAAAGGTGTTGTGTTGTGTCGTAATTTTTAAAAAGACGGTTTATTAATATTCGGAGTAAAATGTGTAAATCAAATTTTATTTTTTTATAATATATATCTTGATTGATTTCTTTCTTATGTGTAGCAATTTGTTTGGATTAGGAACCAAATCACTTTTTTCAATATGTTTATGAAAATCTGATTTGATTTTGTAATGTGATCAAACTTGATTCTTTGTAGAAATCCCGTGAGATCTTTAGATAAGATGGTACTTGCAGCTTTGCAAGTGCTGCAACTTCCCTCTTAGTTTATAAGAGCTGAAGATAATATTTTTCTTAGTGGAAAAAAATGCTTTCATAAAAAATCCAACATATTGAGTGTTGAGGAAAAAAAAAAAAGAAATTAATAGAAAAGAAATTGAAAGAAAAACAAAGTTAGAGGCTTCCAATTGTGGTCTTTGTGTGTTGCACACGAGTAATTATAGCCCACTATCAGGTATGGTCCATACAAAATACTTTTTAGTGTTTTTGTTTATACATTTATTATTGATAAATATACTATTATTGCTGATTTTATGTTATTATATATACGGAGAAATGTGAATATTAAATACGAGTTTATCGTCACTAAGAGAGAGTCCCACTTTGCAAGTCTAAGGAGGTCTCCCTCACATGTAACATTTTATGGGGCCATATTCCATTTTTTTCACTCCTCACATAATTAAGTTGGCCCAGTGTACTCACTAATTAAGCCATTAAATGTCCCAAACTGTGGAACTTGGCTTTGATAATTGATACCATGTTAACTGCGGGCCTTAGTTGCAACCATCACAGAAAAAGAGAGTTCATTTTACAAGGCCAAAGAGGTTTCATTGCAAAACCATATAACAATTAGCCTAAAAAATTTAAGATGCATAGCTGTTTAACTCCATTTTTTTCTTCAATATGAAACACTTATATGTAATTGTCAAGGAAATTTATTTCAAAAAGTAATGTAAGTAATTACTTTAGTGATTGGTGAGTATGTAGTGACTATTGAGTAAAGACATTGAATAATGAGCTTTGTCAATATCCCCTCTTGCATGTGTATGACTCATTATAACAGCACAAAAATGTCGATATAAACTATGGTATTTTGGCTTAACAAGGCTAAAAAAAAAATAAAAATTGTAGGGTTACCAAAAAAAATGGGGTTACAAGAATTTCTTCACATGAATGAAGGAGATGGAGAGATTAGCTATTCTCAGAATTCTTTTGTCCAGGTAATATTAAAACCATATGGTATAATTTTATTTCTAAGTTTCATTTATTGAAATTATGAACATGAATTTTAACCCTCTAATTTATTTTTTTTTAAATCTAAATTTAATTTTATTGATTTGTTAATAACAGAAGGCAGCGAGTTTAATGGGCCAACCTATGCTAGAGAGAGCAATTCAATCTGTAATTACAGAAGTAAAAAGCCCAAGTAAGGTTATTAAAGTAGCTGATTTGGGCTGTGGAGTTGGCCCAGTACCATTAGCTGTTGTAAAATTGGTGATAGAAAATGTGCAAAAGAAATGCGAGGAATTGAAGTGGAAAGACAATGATATACCTGAAATTATTGTGTTTTTAAATGATCTTCCTTCAAATGATTTTAGCTTTCTGTTTAAAGAATTGTTGAATATGGATTTACTAAAGAAAAAAGAGGGTGTACCCTTGTGTTATTTAATGACTACTCCTGGATCCTACTACGGTAGACTTTTTCCTAAGAATGTCTTGCATTTCGTTCATGCAAATTACACCCTTCACTGGTTGTCCCAGGTATTTTATCTCATTCGGACTTATTTATTTTCGTGATGACTCTTTGATTATCGAGTTATTTACCCTTGACCTATGTATGTACTACCTTCGTTAACTTTTATTTGTAATTTTTGAGTATTATTTGTGAGATATAAAATATTCTAAAATTGCAAATAAAAGTTAACGGAGGTAGTACTATATTACTAATATGATTGATGTGTGAAGGCACCATCTGAGCTCTATAGTGAAGAAGGCATACCAATAAATAAGGGGAACGTCTACATAACCGAGTCAAGTCCTAAGATTGTTGCAAAAGCTTACATGTCTCAATTTCAACAAGACTTTACTAAGTTCCTCATTTGTCGTTCTGAGGAAGTTTATTCTAATGGTCGTATGCTTTTGACACTCCGAGGTAGGCCAACTTCCTCCGATGCAGTGACATGGCAGCCGTGGGAACTCGAAATAATGGCTCAAGCCATCACTAAGCTCGTTTCACAGGTAATTTTTGCCTAATTACATCATACGGAGTATATATAGAACTAAAATGTTGTATTTGAAGATGCGATTTTACTAGCTTAGTTGGTAAAGTACATGTGAGTTACCTAAGTCTAGTAATCAAATTCTGTTTACTAATTACACGTCAATTTTTGTTACAAAGTATAAAAATAATTATTGAAACATATATCTTAATAGGGTTTGATCAAGGAAGAAAAGCTAGACACATTCGATTTCCCATATTTTGGGCCTAACGAAGATGACATTGAAAGCATAGTGCATAAAGAAGGGTCATTTGTTATTGAGAATGTGAATACAATGGCGCAGCATGTTGCACATGAAATAGAAGACAATTCGGAAAGAGCAAAAGTCGTAAGCAAATTCGTGAGATCCTTTACTGAATCCTTGATTTCGCGTCATTTTGGAGAAGATGTGTTGGAGCCATTGTATGAGAAATTTACACAATTTACTTGTGAGCATCTAGCTAAAGGAAAGCCTATTGAGCACCACAGCGTTATCATATTGCTTAAGAAAATTTAGAACATTAAACTTGTTTCATGTGTAACAAGCAATAAAAAGACAAGCCAAGCACAAGCAAAATTATGTACTCTTATGTACAACTTTGTGGAGGAACTCCATACTCTCATATGGAACTTTAGATTCAATAATTAAGGGATTGTTCGATGTTATTGTATGTCAATTAATTTATGTTTATCGTTTTACTTTGTAATAAATAAAAATGTTACTTCTATGTGCAGTGGTAATATTTTATGCTTTGAAAGCTTATGGTTCCAAAAACAAAACAAAAAAAATTATGTTTTTCCAAGAACTTATTTCCAGTAGGCTTTTCAAAAGTACTAGATGAAAGATGAGAGATATTCATTGAAAACCAGCTTATGTCTCGATTTTAAAATGCAGCTTATGTATATATTAAGGTATATTTTAAGTATTTGGTAAACAAGGACTATATTTAAGAAGCTAAAAAGAAAATATCGAGAATAAGTTAACATTAATTACACCGATTTATAGTGATTTTGTCATGAATTTTCAACATAAATTCTATTTTAGAAAATTTATTTAATGCTTACATAAAACTCTAAGGAAAAATTGCCCGCAATATTCCGACCTTTTAGCCATTCGCTGAAAATAATCCCACCTATGGATTATTTTTAAATAATTCCACTGTTATACCCACTCCGCTATAAATGGTCCCAACCGGTCATGTAGCCTGTTATAACAAGTTACTTGACACGTGTCGCCATGTTATTTGTCAAAAAAATAAAATTAAAATAAATTAAATTTAAAAAAAGTTAAATGTTTTTTAAGAAAAACTAAAAAAAATAAATAAAAAATAAAAACCACCACCAGCCCAAGCCTTCCCCGCCACCCCCTGACACCTCATCCCGTAGCACCGGTCACCCAGACCCCCGACCCTGGCGTCGGCGGTGCCTTGAACCCCCTCCCCTAAACAACCCGCCTCCCTCCATCACATAACCACCGTCTCCTTCCCTCACGACAGCAGTCACAACACCAATCTCCGTCGCGAAATCACCAGCCCCCAACTCCAGCGTCAGCGCCGTCGGCCACCAACAACTCGATCTGTCCACCCTCTCCCTCCCCCTAAACCGCCGACTCGTGGTCCCCTTACCCTGAAACCACCAACCACCCTCGAAAACCTGTTCCCCCGTCCCGATCCCAGTCACGATCCCCATCCCCGTCCAAATTCCGGTCGTTCCTCCCTTTGTCCATCCCGATTCCAGCCTCTCTCCCCTAGTCTCCTTCACGCGATTCCGGCCTCTCTCTCTCTCCTACCTCCGTCGCGATTTCGGCCTCTCTTTCCTTCCTCCGTCGCGGTGGTTTCATATGTGGGTGCGGTTCTAGGGTTTAGGTTTGGTGGTGGTGGGTATGGTGGTGGCTGAATTGGTGTTGCTCAGGGGGTGGTGGTGATTTTTTACTTTTTTATTTATTTTTTAGACTAATCAATAAGTGACACGTGTAAATTCTACTTAAAAAAAAATTACCTGCTCAACCGGTTCCAAGTAAAATGGGATCATTTATAGCGGGGTAGGTATAAAGGTGAGATTATTTAAAAATAATCCATAGATGGGATTATTTTCAGCAGACGACCAAAAAGTCGGATTATTGCAGGCAATTTTTCCAAACTCTAATGGCTACACATATCATTACGCATATTTTAATAGTAATAAAAATTGAAAAATAGTATGCAAAAGTCTAAAAATTAGAAATCTAAAATTGGGCCTAAGCAAAGCCCAATATGCATTGGGCTTCCATATTCAAAGGCCGTCAAAATGCTAAGTTCTGGAATTTACTAGAAAATCCTACACTTATCTCCATCACTCTGTATTCTTCTTTCACCTCTGTTTTTTTCCCGCCATCATTAAGAAACCGCAATTTTCTAAAAACGAATAACTCAGAATGTTCTAGATACTACCATTATCACCCCTCACTTTCTATAAATTCCCATTCTCATGTTCCCATCATCATCAACAAAACAAACTTCTTAATTCTCCTTGCAAATCAAGACTATCAATCTCACAATAAATCAAACACTCATACAAAACCAAAATCAATCAAAAATGTCGCTGGTTCCAAGCTTTTTCGGAAACCGACGAAGCAATGTCTTCGACCCATTTTCTCTCGATTTATTCGACCCTTTCCATGATTTTCCCTTCAACAACACCACCTCTCGATCACTCACCTCCACCGGTGGCGACACCGACATCGCTGCGTTTGTGAACACCCGAATTGACTGGAAAGAGACTCCGGAGGCCCATGTATTCAAGGCGGATTTACCCGGGTTGAAGAAGGAGGAGGTCAAGGTTGAGGTGGAAGACGGAAAGGTGCTCCAGATCAGCGGTGAGAGAAACAGAGAGCAGGTAAAGAATGACAAGTGGCACCGTGTCGAGCGGAGTTCTGGAAAGTTCTTAAGGAGGTTTAGGCTGCCGGAGAATGCGAAGATGGATGAGATCAAAGCGAATATGGAGAATGGTGTTCTTACTGTCAGTGTGCCTAAAGCTGAGGAGAAGAAGCCTCAAGTTAAGTCTATTCACATTTCTGCTGCTTAAATGGGGCTTAATTAAGATTATTATGATATAAACATATAAAATGAGTGATTAATGATGTAATCTTCTTATATTTGTATGTTACTCTGTAATTATAATGTGTTTAAACACTTTAATTATCATTTTCATTTGCGTATTCGTAAGTGGATATCTTTGTAAGAAATTACAAGTAATTGAACATTGAAGTAATCAATATAAATGAAAAATTCTTGTTAAATCTTTTTGTATAGTTGTGTCAATTGTGTGTGCAAATGTGCATAACCGAAATTCTGTGCTAAGGTTGAGGGGTATAATTGTTGAGGCCTTTCAAATAGAGGTTGATGAGGTATGAGTAAATGTACAACGAGGGTCGAGGGGTATAATACGTATATATATTCTGAATTTAGGACAGTATTATTGGGTGATCATTAGTACCACTGAATAATTAGATAATACCATTGAAAATTGAGTGATAATATTTATGTAAATAGTGGTATTATATTTATTTACAACCTGGAGGGGCGGTCTGTAAACGTCTCATAATTTGACAACGAAAAAAAAAATACTTAAACACATTATTATTATTAGGAAAAATTGATAAAATTAATCCCAACTTTCACCCATTCGCTTTTTTTAATCCCAACTATCGTTTATTATTTAATAATCCCAATTTTCATATGTGTTCGCTTTTTTTGGGTCAAATTGACTGGTGACCGGTTGGAACAGTCAAGGGAATTAATTTCCCTCCTAATCTATGCTAACTTAACTCCTCTCAACTACCCATTAATTTTCTCTCTCCCCGCCATTACTCCCCTGCTTCAATTAATTTTTTTTCAACCATTTTCGTACTGGAGCTGACACCATCATCTGTAATTGGCAAAATTGGCAAGCTTTGTAGAGTAAATTGGCAAGAATCGTGCAAGGGTATTGGAGTTTCAATCAGATCTAAGGTACCCAATTAATCTTAAATCAAAACTCGTGGATTTAATTGTGTGAAGACCTTGCTTAACTGACGAATTATGCATAATTGAAGTTGATTAGTGACTGTAATTGCTTTTTAATGACATAAAAAATTGTCTTTTTTGGTTGATATGTGTTAATTGTTCGTGTTTTTTATTTTGAATTTTGTGGTGGTTTTTTTTTATTGAATTTGCGTGAAACCCTAGATTCGTGTTTGTTGATTAATTGGTTGTATTATATGAATGGTTGTTGAGTTGTGTTTGAAAACATAGGATTATGGGTAGAAATAGGAAGATGAAAAGTCCTTTTGACACTGTGACCTTGAAGTTTTGGCATGGTGGACAATTCAAGCATATTGCAAATGGCCATTTAGTCTACGAGGGTGGGAGTGGTAGTAATAAACAAGTTGACCCAAATGAGATATGTTATTGGGATCTTATGTTGCTGGCAAGGGAAGTATCACAGGGGAAAACAGTTGAGGGGGTGTGTTACCTAGTTCCTGGACTAAGTATGGAGTGTGGGCTTAGGAGGGTGCTTAATGATAAAGATACCATGGAATTAATCAAGTTAGCTGACAAATATAGGTGTGTTGAGGTGTATGCTATTCATGTGGCTGAGTCACCAAACTTGGAACCAAGTGAAGAACCAATTGTTGAAACATCAATTTCAAACTTCACTAATTGAAAATGAGCCCCCTGGCAGTGAGTTACTTACCCAACAAACATTATCCAATAAGTTACCCTTGAAAACAAAACCCACCAAGTTACCAACTAAAAGGGCCCCACCAAAAAAACATGTTTCCCCAGTGAGATTTAGTCCAAGAAAGAAACCTCTTTCAATTGAAAAAGAGGCATCTGCCAGGTCATCCCACAACAAAGATTCCCCCATTTCAGCAGCTGTCAAAGAGCATGTGAATCCTATTTCTTTAAGTACAACTTGTCAAACCAACACACAATCCTTATCCAAACCCAGATCTACTTGTGCTGAACCTTCTTGTATTATATCTTCTTCACAAAATGACCCTAGTCACACAAATACTTTTGATTGGGAAGATGATAGACCTGAGAGTCCCATCCCTTTAAATGATCTTATTCCTGATTTTGGTGATAGTAGTGATGACTCAGACCCATCTTATGAACCTGAAAGTAGGAAAGGGAAGTCAATTATAGATAAAGATGCTGATGGAGCTGTTTATAGTGATAGTGAATCTGATGATGTTTTAAAGGGTGAAGCTGAGGGTGGTGAAGTGTTAGCTGATGAAGTGTTGGATGCTGGGTTTGAGCTCACAGATCTGCAATTAGAGGGTGAGGAATATGAGCAACAATTAAATCAAGAGTTAGTGTTTGAGTAAGATAATAGTGATGATGAGTATAATACAGCTAGGGAAAGAGTTCAGCTTTGCAACACTCAGTTGTCACAAAAGGCTCAACAACTGCAATTAAGTGCAACACAAGGTCAATTAGGGTCTCAAGACCAGACTGTAACTGATCAACCAGCAGGTGGGACCTCAGAACCAGCCCCTTATCAGAGTGATTATGAAGATAGTTTAGAGGAAAATGACACACCACCTGTTAGTGGAGATGAGGGTGTGGTAGTTGGTAGGAGAGAAAGAAAGTCTTTGTTAGTAAGTCCACAAACAGATTTTTCACAATTCAAGTGGAGGGTTGGACAGAAGTTTGCTAATAGAGAAAACTTTAAAGAAGCAGTTGCCAAATATGCTGTGTTTCAAGGTAGGAATGTGGGGTACATTAGCAGCAACAAAAAGAGAGGACAGAGGTTAGCAGTCAGGTGCATAAAGGGATGCCCTTTTTATGTTTATGCATCTTGGGATACTAGAAGGGCAACACTGGTGGTTAAAAGGGTGTGTGGTGATCATAGCTGCCATAGGAATATGAACAGAAATAGGCAACTTAAAGCAAGTTGGGTTGCTAAGCAATTCTTGGATGTGTTTAAAACAAGACCTCACTGGCCTGCACAAGAAATTGTGGATTGCATCAGGAAGGCATATAAGATTTTGTTGAAAAGAGACTTTGCTTACAAAGTAAAGTATGCTGCTCACAAGCTTCTACATGGGTCAATGCATGACCATTATAACAAGGTTGGGGGTTATTTAACAGCTGTGAAAGCATGTAGTCCTGCAACAGAGTGTATACTTGTAAGTGACACCTCAAAGCATCCACCAGTATTTCAAAGACTCTTCATATGCTTTGAGGGTTTGCAGAAAGGGTGGAAGGAGGGATGCAGGAAGGTGTTGTGTGTTGATGTCTGCTTTCTTAAGACCTTCCTTGGTGGACAACTTTTGTCTGATGTAGGAAGGGACTCAAACGACCAAATGTATCCTGTGTCTTGGGCCATAGTGGAAGGTGAGAACAATAGTTACTGGGAGTGGTTTTTCACTCAATTTCAATCATGTTTGGAGTTAGGGCAGGGGGATGACATAGCCATCATTTCTGATGAGCATCAGATCAGAAGTGCCCTTATGTAGAGATTAGTCAAGAAAAGACAAGAGATGGAGAATTGTGGCTCTGTCCTTTGTCCTAGGATTCAAGCTAAGTTGGACAAAGAGAAAGAGAAGGCATCCAATTGTGAAGTTCAACCATCATCCAACCACCTGTTCAATGTGACTTACTATTTTGATCAATTAGTGGTTGACTTGGAAGCAAGGTCCTGCACTTGCAGGAAGTGGGAAATGCCGAGAATCCCTTGCTGCCACTCAATTGCATGCATATTTTTCCAAAATAGGCAAGCTGAAGATTTTGTGGACCCCTGCTATAGAAGAGATACATATCTGAAGGCATATGCAGATGAGAATGCTTAATATGTGGCATTGTTAATTGTGTGTTAATTGTGTACGTTCTTTACATAATATTTGAACTTGGATCTTTTTTTTTTGTAGGATCAATTCCTCCAGTGGAAGGGCAAAGGCATTGGCCTCAAGTTGCTTGCCCCTTAGATCCACCTCCTATTAAAATAGGGCCAGGTCGACCTAGAAAGAATCGGATCAAGGATCCATTTGAACACCCAAAAAAGCCTGGACATTTAACCAAGTCAGGTGTAGAGATGACTTGCAGTCTTTGTTCAGTGAAAGGCCACAACAAGCGAAACTGCCCTAATAAAGACAATGCACCTCCAAGAGAACCACTAGCAAAAAAGGCAAGGGGAAGGCCAAGGAAGGATGCCCAACCACCTGCACATACAGTAACCACATCAACTGCTGCTCCTGCACATCATGCAGCAAGTGCTCAACCAACACAATTAGGAAGAGGTGGAAGAAGTATTAGAGGAGGTAGGGGGTCAAGGGGGGGTGGGAGATCTGCACGTGGAGGTGGGACAGCAGGACAGGGAAGAGGAAGGGGCAAGGGAAAGGTATTAATATCTCATCTTGAATTTGGCTGTATTTATTTTTTCAATTCTCTGCTACTGTCTAATGCTTATGGTAATAATTTTCAGCTGCCAAAGGGAGTTGGGGTTTTATTTTCAGCAGATGGTTCTGTTGTGACAGCTAGAAGGGGGAGAGGCAGGCCAAGATCAACCCAGTTGCAGCAACCTGGTGTCATCAGCCAATCCAGCCAAGCATCTACTGTTATTCAGCAAACTCAGTGAATATGTGGAACACCTAATGCTAATTATATGTACTAGTGATTGGTGTTTTGAATAGCCTTTTAAATTTAGTATTTAGAACCTTGCTTTGAATTTCATTTTGTTTGATTTGCAATGTCAGCATTCAAGACATGTATGTAACTTGGATTACATTTGAACTTATTATGACAAGCACAAAGCTTTTGATAGATTTGCTTTATTTCTAAGATGCACATGAACACAAATGAAAACACATCAAGGATTTCAATGGATTTCAATAGCTCCTTTATTTACTCATTGGACATTAGTTAGTGGTCACTTATTTAGTTAACAAAAACTTTAAAAAAAATCCGGTGTACAATAATTATTGTACATCCATTACAAAGATAGCTAAAAGTGATTAAAAGTTATCTCTAAAATGAATAAAAGTTACCTCTATATGCATAAAAGTAACCCAATTCAAATAAAAATTATCTACACTTTATTAATAAAGAATCACATTTTTAAATGACTAAAAATCAATTATTAGTGATTGAATGTAATTAAATTACCTTTATAAAACTTTTCTTGTTGTCTATTTATATAAAAATTGTATTATGTTTAAAGTTACCCAAAAGCAGGCAAAAAGTTACCCTAAAATAAGCTAAAAGTTACCCTTATATTGCTCGATGTACACTAATATATATTAGTATAAACCGGATGTATACAAAAGTTTTTGTTTAATTAATCACATTATTCATAATACCAAGTCATAATCCATACCTATATACGAAGTATTTGTGTTGTATACTATATTTAATCAGCTGTTAGTTATATATGTGACTATTATATAATATATAGTTTTTTGGCACGATGGCTAACTTAGGAAAATATATGTTCTGCTAGGTCAAATATAAGGTTATTATTGTGTCTATAGATTTAATGAGTGCGACGGGTAAATAAAACATTTATATATTAGATTAATTGTAGCTACTGATGCGGATGGTATGATAAGAAAATTTTAGTTTTTTCTCAACATGAGATATAAATAAATTAGTGCACTTCTTATATAGCTATGTGGAGTATTATTCAATTATTTTTTATTTAATAAAATAACATTATAAAAAAATAAAAGAAATTTAAACTACATAAAATACTATTCAAATAACGTTCCTTTAATTTATTTTTTTTATTGACCATTAGTAACCAAGTCCTTTAATAGTAAATGAATTACCTTTTTTTTATTTTTATTTTTCCTACGGGTTTAATAATTTAATTTATAAACCGTGCATCGCACGAGCACTATGCTAGTAAAATTAAAAACTAAACAAAAATCTATAAAATACAGTATCAAAATAAAGGTGAAAAAAAAAACACTTTCTATTTTTTCTCTCTCCTATTGGTTTGTGCGTATTTTACATTTTCTCACCATATCTCATATTCTCCCTAGCTCCTTTTTTATCCACCAAATTTCATACTTCATTAATTTTCACATACAAATTCCCACCTCCTCTCTACTTTTTTTATTTTTTTTTAAGAAAGATTAGTAGGCCATTAATTAAGCTTTGGGGAATAGAGTTCATACAAACTAATTCCGAACTATTGCGTGTATCCCATCTCGCAACGAGATGAGCCACCACATTGCCTACTCTCTTGACATGTGAGAAATAACAAAAATCAAACCACTTAGCCATAGTTTTAACATCATCATAAATAAGCCATAAAGGAGAGAAACCCAAATTGTCGTTGTTTATCTGCCGAATCACATTAATTGCATCCCCTTCAATCCATATGTTTTTATAACCCCATCTCCCTACTTATAAAACCCCCTTTATTTTTTCTGCTAATTGAAAGTAAAATTTAAACAAAAAACATTATTATTTTTTTTTAAAAATGGTGGGCAGATGTCCCCCATGTCCCCCCCTCCCTCCGCCCCTGATTAAGGGTTCTATGTGAAGAACTTCTAATACCATTAGCGGTTCTATTTAAGCTAAAATCGTAAACAATGTTAGCGGTTTGATACTAGCTAGGATTTTAAAAAAATCAAATTTAATAATTGATCCGACGTGGATAGTACGGTGGGAAATATTTTTTGAACCAATGTATATATGGAATTAGTTTATAATATAGCATTATTTGTGGAAATCGCTCGATTTATTATCAACACTGTTTAGATTAATTTGATTACCATTAAGGGATTGATTTGATTACCATTAAGGGTATGTTTTGATTTATTGAAATGAAATGCTAAATTGAGTTGAAATGAATTGTTTATGAGATAAGAAAACTAGAAAATGAGCTGAATTGAACTGATTAGAGCTGAATTTGATTGAAATTAAGGTGAAGTAAAATTTTGAGTCAAGTAATTTCTTCATTGGTTGTCATCGTATTCTGACGTCACATATCCGTTGCGCTTAGTTTTGACAGACTTTCAATAACAGTGTGAAAAATACAGCAATTGGAATCGTCCAATTAACTCGGCCCTACTAGCACTGAATGCGTTATTCGTCGTACTGTCGGCATCTTGATATAGGCAGGGGCCTGGAAGATAAATTGAAATGACACCGTACACAAATTCAACCTAAAATGATGAATGTAAGAGTAAAACTAGCCACATATATTGCCATTAGCACATTTGCACATGAAAAACTCCTTTGGTGCTATTTTAAAAATTAAATGTATACTACTTCCAAAATTGAGGAGGTTCAACTTAGGATGTATTTTATTCCTTTAATATTTATTTTATCAAAAAAATTTAATCTAATTTATTTTAATACGTATAAGAAATTATAAATTTACCTATAATTAATAAAAACCTTAAGCTCGACTCTGTTGACCAAGTCTTCCAGGTGAGAGACCTGGGTTCGATCTGCAAAGTACAAACAATGAAACAAGGTTATTCAATGTTAAAACCAATACTGTCAATTACTTAAATAACCCTACTTGCCCACTTTAAAGTACATTATGGCATTATGCCCTCCTTTAGAAAATACATACATAACCCTTGGTTAGAAACTTGTATTTTCTCTCTTGAAAACAAAGTTGTGTTTTTTTTTTTTTTTTTTTTTTTGAAACCAACAAAGTGTTTTGCAATGGAAATAAAAGAAATTCTTTGCATGAAGGAAGGTGACGGTGAATTCAGCTATGCTCGCAACTCTACAGTCCAAGTATCATCTTTTTTTTTTTTTTTTTTTTTTAATTTTTTTAATGCAAAGTAATAATGTAAAGTAATTTCAAGTTATTATCTTGTGTGAAATTTCAAGTAGTTTCATAGGTCCAAGGTTGCTCTTTCAAGTCTATGGTGTTGAAAAGAACCTTGGGTAATAAAATCAAGCAAGTTGTTTTTGATGCACACAAATTAGTTTTTAATTGTGTCATCTAAATATATAGATGAAAAAAAGATTTCACTATAATAATATCTTAGTTGTACAATGCATAATATAAATGTAATTCTTGAAGTATAAAATTATGAATAAGGAATATTATCATGTTGAGAGGTATACTTCGAAGTATTTTGTAAATTATTTTAGAAGCTTGAGTAGTAATAATTATCGTCTATACATATATAGTTCTTAAAATAGTGCTCTCAACTTTCTATTCTTGGCTACCTTTAGTAGTAGTAGAAACTTTTTTTTTCTTCTATTATTTGTGTGCTCATGTTGTGGGGTTAGACAACATTCGTGCTTGTTTGGTAGCCCGTAATAGGAATATAACATTAGAAGTATTGTGATAGTTAATTACACCAATATTCATGAATTGTTTGTTGTTGATTTGTAGTCGAAAAAAGCAAGATTATATTCTTCTAGTGTAGCTTAATTAAAAGGTTTGTCTATGTATTCATTTTACAGGGACAAGTATTGGCTCACGTAAAGCCAATGATTGAACATGCCATTAGATCTTTGATATCAAATGATACTTCTTGCAAGGTCATAAATGTGGCTGATTTTGGGTGTGGAGTGGGTCCTACACCAATAGCCCTAATATCAGTGGTGATGGAAAGTGTAAGCAAGATAAGTAGAGAGTTTTAGTTGGAAGGTGATAGAATACCAGAGATACAAATGTATATGAATGACCTTCCATCAATTGATTTCAATTTGCTCTTCAAAAGCTTGAGAGAATTGCAATTAACAAATTATGATGGTATGCCCTTGTGCTTTGTCATGGGTGCTCCTGGCTCGTTCTTCAATCGTATCTTCCCTAGAAATGGCTTGCATTTGGTTCACTCCAATTATGCCGTCCACTGGATCTCTCAGGTTCGTTTTCATAACACTTTAAGTTCAAATTCTCATCACTACCCAAATGTTTTAGATTATGAGTCTATTCTTCAAAATTGGCCATATAGATAATATAAGTTATTACGCTTAGAGATCTATCACACGCAACTGTTTTGTCAAACATTACTATGAAGTATTAGAAATTTGTAAATGCATATAAAGTTATACTGTCTTATGCAGTGTTAATTAAAGAGTAAAATTAAGGAAAATTGAGTTAAGTAAACTTTAAATGTAAGCATGGTTAGTCAACCAACTAACTATTAAGTGACTTTTAATTAGAGGATTAGCTAAGATTGGCACGAGAAATTGTGAATTCAACTTCATAACATATTAGAGCAAAAACTTGTATATTCAAAAATTTCAACATTAAATAAAATTGAGTATATTATTGTTTGGTTTGTTACTTTGATAAAGAACATGTTAAAAGTACAACAAAATTTTATGTACAGATTATTCTTTTTTTCAATATGCTATTAAGAATTTAAGAGTGAGGACTTTCCAAAGAGCAAGTTTTAACTAAAAATATAACTCAATGAACCTAGATGGTCTCTTTGTAATTGTGGTAAATGATTCAATCTGTTTACACTATATTAAAATGATGATTTGTATCAATAAATTTAATTGGGTCAAGTTATCTTTGGTGCATTGTGTTGATTCATGTGAAGGTACCATCAAGTATTTACGATGAGGTAGGGAGCTCGATGAACAAAGGCAATATCATTGTGTCCGAGGCTAGTCCCCCAAGTGTAGTAAAAGCTTTTCGTGCACAATTTCAACAAGATCTTAGCTTGTTTCTCAAGTGTCGATCCAATGAAGTTGTAACCAATGGACACATGATACTAGCAGTTCTTGGAACCTTGTCTACATTGGTCGACCAAAGCCCTCTCTCAAGCCATAACTAATCTAGTTTCCAAGGTAACATAACTCTATGTCATAGTAAAAACTTCAATTTGCAGTGACAATATTTTAGTACTTTTGTTAAAATTAAGGCATGTTCTCATTGACAGAACTGAACTAAACTTATTAGAGCTGAGTGAGTTGAGCTGAACTAAACTAACCTAAACTTATTAAAGCTGAACTGAACTGAAAATAAATAATCGTATGAGAACAGGCCCTTAGTGATATCACTGCCTCTTATGAGATATATTTGTACATTTGTGTATTATACAATTGTTTTTCTTTTATCAAGTACAAACGTAACTAGAAATCATCAAAATCACTTCATACATTCAACTAGAAATTGACATTACATACTCGTGCTAATTTATTTCATTGTGTCTGCTAGGGATTAATCACGCTCGTTTGCAATGCCATTACATTTTCCCTCAAAAGAAGTCCAGATTGAAGAAGGATCATTTACAATTGAAAAAGTAGAGACAATTGTTGAGGACGCTGCAAGCGAAGTTAAGGATGTAGAATTAAGGGCTGAAGCCATAGCCAAAGCTATAAGGGCTGCCTATGAAGTCTTGGTTTCACATCACTTTGGAGAACATATATGGTTTGATTTGTACCCTGAGCTTAAACAAGCTAGTTTGCTTCACTTGAAAAATGAACCAGTTGAAATGTTCAACTTCATTTTCATGCTTAAAAAACTTGTTTGATTGCAAATCGATTAGATTTTCACTATTATTTCTAATAACTTTTTGTTTCAAGGTATAATTATAAATAAATGTAATTCATAACTATCTATTTTGTAACATAAACCTACAATTCTAATTTTGAGATGACATACTATTCATTGGTCAGTCTATGATAGTAAACTCAAGATTGTTGATTGGTGGAACCATGTTAACACCAAACAATAAAAGGTTAGACAAGATAACCATTTTTCAAAATCAAGCAAATTTTATTTCTTCATTATACTGATTAACTCCTTACAAACAAGCAACAATGAACACATTAATTTGAAAAGTCAATATAATTATATAAAAACACACAATTTGAAACAACATTACACAACTAAACCCTCATCATTATATCACAATAATCTTAATTAAATCCCAATTTAAGCAGCAGAGATGTCAATAGACTTAACTTCAGGTTTCTTAACCTCCATTTTAGGAACAGTAACAGTAAGAACACCATTCTCCATATTCGCTTTGATCTCCTCCGTCTTCGCATTCTCCGGCAGCCTGAACCGCCTTAAGAACTTTCCAGAACTCCGCTCAACACGGTGCCACTTGTCATTCTTCTCCTCTTGCTCCTTGTTTCTCTCTCCGCTGATCTGGAGCACTTTCCCGTCTTCCACCTCAACCTTCACCTCTTCCTTCTTAACACCGGGAAGATCGGCTTTGAACACATGCGCCTCAGGTGTCTCCTTCCAGTCAATTCGAGCGTTGGCGAAAGCAGCGGTTTCGCGGTCGGTGGTGAGAGACTGGAAGGGTTCCCAGACATTCAGGGAAAAAGGATCGGCGATGCTGCTGCGTCGGTTTCCAAAGAAGCTTGGAATTAGCGACATTGTAAAATCAATTGATTTTTTTTTAATTAATAGAAATTGATTTAAATATTTGATTAGAGTATATTGAGAAATTGAGAATTGATGAGAAATTTTGAATGCTGCAAATTTCTGTGTTCTGTTGATGAAAAATTAAGAAGAGAAAAGTGATATTTATAGATGATGGTATGAAGTATCTGGAAATTACTTTGAATTAATGGGATCATTCTATGAGCTTCTAGTATGGAGGAAAAGTAGAAAACAGAGATAGAGAAGAACAGAGAAATTTGTAGGATATTCTTGTACTTTCCAGACTTTTAGTTATTTGCCGCGCTTAATCTTTGGGCCTTATCTATTCAATAGTGTGTCGGCCCATTGATGGAGAGCAAGATGTGAAATAAGCCCAGTTCTCATGTAACGGGAACTTTTTGTTGAAACGGTCAATGAGACTATCTAACATGATCAGTCAAGTGATAATCTTTGGTCAATTAGTACAGTATTACTCCATAACGTTTTTTTTTTTTTTTTTTTTTTTTTTTTTTTTTTTTTTTTTGAACTACTACATAATGCTTAATACAAGTAAATTTAGGGAGGTATTATTCATGCAATTTTCATGAATCTAGCCTAAAACTAAAAGGAACTTATTTTTACGTAAGTATGTATATTGATGTGAATTTACTAGAAATTATCCTAGTTATCGATTAATTAAACTTGGAAATTATCTGAACTTGTTTTTGTTGAATATGATGATGTAAGAAGATTAAAGATAGTTTTATTATGAATTTCTGAGCAATATAGAGTATAAAATTACTTTTATTGAAATTTTGTTTAAAAATATAAGCATAATATAGTAATAACACGTAATCAGGCACAACATTAGTTGATATTCTTGATAATGTAACGTATTTACACATACAACGAGTGACGACATTGCTAATAATGCATAAATAAGCCAACAAGGTTGAACATAAGAACTATAATCACTTAATTAGTTTGTGTTATAATACACAATCACACATTACATAGTCTTGGCATGAACTAAAAAGATTTGAACAATCTTCATTTGACAAACTTTTACCGCAAGAGGTCGGTGGATAATAGCTTAGCATCGTATCCATCGTTGGTTCCCATAATAATTAAATAAAACAAATAAAAAAAAACCCAAAATAATGTGGCAATAGATTGCTAAAGACAGCAGAAGCAAAATGAAACCTGTTGTTCATGCAAAACTTAAACAAAACACGTGTATAAACACGTGGCAAACTCTTTCCTTCCATATAACAAAACCTTTCTTCCTTTCCATCATACTTACTTCCTCCCTCTATTTCCCACTCTAAAACCTGAAATAAACTTCAGCTACCTTAGCTTCGTTTAATTTATTAAGTAACAAAGTAATTTCTAAAATGGCAACAATGGATCGCGATCGCGATACTAGAGACCCAAGGCAAATCCATGTCCACACCCAACATGCAAGCGTTCACGGCGGTAACGTAAGAGGTAGCGGTGGTTATGGATTCAGCTCCGGAGGTGGTCCAACCGCGTCACAAGTGATTGCTTTGGTAACACTAGTCCCCGTCACTGGCACCCTCCTCTTCTTGGCGGGTCTCACTTTACTCGGGACCGTCATCGGGTTATGCCTAGCAACCCCGGTATTCCTCCTCTTTAGTCCTGTCCTAGTCCCTGCTGCCCTCCTCATGGGGCTTGCTGTCACTGGGTTCCTTTCGTCTGGCGCGTTTGGTCTCACGGGGCTGTCTTCGCTGTCACGCGTCGTGGGGTATATTCGACAGGCGGGGCGTAGAATGCCTGATGATTTGGATTATGCTAAGCGTCGTGTGGCGGATATGGCGGCATTTGCGGGACAGAAGACCAAGGATGTGGGGCAGACTATTGAGAGTAAGGCTCGTGAAAGTGGGACTCATACCACTAGTGGTGGTACTACTGCTACTACTAGGGCTTGAAAATGAGGAGCATGCATGCGACGAGTTTTTAGGTTGATGATGACCGATGAGTTAGTTTCCTTGGTTGGGTTTTGCAGGGTGTAAATTAAATTTTCTAGTTTGTAATGTTGTTGTTCATGTTGTTATAACTTTTTAATGGGTTATTGAATAATTTTATGCATGATTTCAATGTAATTTTTATGCTTAAGTGACTGCCTTTTTGTTCATTTTATATAATCCGTTCTGTTTTAGTATTGTTGCATTTGTTTCGGGACATTTTGTCGTGCAATAGTTGCTTTATTTTCCAAATTAAACCCGTACATTACAATTAATTACGTAGTAGTAGCAAATAAAAGTAGGAAATACTAGTACATACTACATAGGTGATTAGGTGTTGTGCCCTAGCTTAACTGTTACTAATACTAGTAGGACTCCTGTTAGCCTGTTACCATATAAAGCGCAAGTGCTAATATATGCTCCGATAAATTAATTAGCGAAGGAAAGAAGATGCTGCATGAATAAAAAAGAAATCAAAATTAACAAACCTCCGAAGTTAGGTTTTCAAGTCATAATAATAAATAATAAATAATTAATACCTCGGTATAAATTCTTGAAATTCTATATAAAAAATTCTTTAAAATTTTTCATTAAAGGCCTTATTCACTCCATTTTAAGTAAAAATAATAAAAATGAGGTGAAGTGAATGGAGTCTAAGGGCCTGTTCTTCTTAACGGAATTGAACTGAATATTTTATATATAAGAAAAGGAAATTAGGATCGGAGCTGAGCTGAACCAAAAATAAACGAGAACAGACCCTAAGTGGTGCTAAACATATTTTAAGGAAAACTTCTCAAGGAGGGTTTGATGAGAATTGAACATTTGAACTCCCCTCTGTGTCTTAAATTTTAAGGGAGACTTCAACTGACACAATTATTTCTCATTTTATTTCCATCAAATAACTATTTGTTCCTTCTACCTGTATATAATATAGGGTTTTAACTATTACTATCTTCAACAATGTAAGTAAAATTTATATAAAGTTTATAGTTTATGATAGAGTATAAAAATAGAACATGGATTTCAATCATTAAACCATATAGTATATGATGGTTTTATTGTACATCTATAAAGAGAAATTTTGGTTTAATACTGAAACCAAGTGAGAGCTAAGTATATGAAATGATCATCGTTGACATTAATATGGTGTCAACTCGGATAGGGCCATCTCAATATATTTGGGCTTGATCTAGTGCTAATATTGATAATTGGCCCAAAAATATATTAGTTTCCATGTCAATTGGCATTGGCAGACCTATCAGACTATCAACATTTTAAAAACCTTGTTAGAGGAAGAGTTAAGTATTGATTTTATACGGTCATAATAGTTAATAGCATTATTAGAAAGTGTGGGCCCCTATTTTTAGAGGCCTTGTATATTTGTATTGAGGGTCTTTAATTTATAGCACGGTGGCAAGGATATCTTCCACAAAAAATTAAGGTTTTGGGAGAGTAACGTAAAATGCATAATCATATGATACTTATCTACGTGATACACCAATAAAATGTTGGTCTAGTGATAAAAGTTGAGAGGTTACGTACAATAGGTTAAATGTTCAAATCTCTCAGTCATTTATAGTCTGTGGAAAATCGAATGTTTACAAACATATTTTTATTTCTTTGGTAAGTGGCCAACTTAAAAACCCCTGGCCCAGGATAGATGCCTCTTCCAAGTACCTTATTAAAGTGTAATGATGACCCAAGGGTTTGTACAATAATTGTTGTCAAATCTGTATCAAATACAACTTGAGGAGTTGAGGGTGGTTACTAATTAAGGTGACTATCACTTTTGAACTAGAGGGGTAGCTCATTACAGTATATGCTTCACATCAATTTTCTGAAGACATCCTCACTAGAAACTTCCAAAGTTTTGATACCATTAAAATTTGAGGCATATCGTTATCAAGTTGGGATAAAATTTTGTTGTTTTTTTTTATGAGTTGCGTACTACGGTAGCATTTTTCCCTCATTCATTCATTTAATGGTTGTGTAAATCATCCAAGTTAATACGTCAAAGCTCCATCCTTCCTAGCATAATTAAAGTTACAATGACTTCATCAATTGAATTGTTTAAAGGTCCAACCTTCCTAATATAATTAAGGGTACGACATGACTTCACCAATTGAATTGTTAAACCCCGTCCTCTTTGCCTTTTTCGAAATACCTCGATGCTGACCCTACCGGCAACCTTTTACTCTGTACCTACTAACATGGCCTTTAGCAGTAGTCCATGGCCGTGCCTCATGTGTATGAAAGCGAATGATCGAAGAAGAGCATTTAAAGTAGAACTCAATAATGCAGTATAATTTCCTTCAGAAAATGGACATTGAAATTATTACTAAGATTGAAAGGTCCAAAATGCAAGAAAAAGGGAGCATATTACATAATTTTGATAGTAAGAATTTACATTTTCACAACCCAGTCCAATGCAAGCCACAACCCTCTTAGGATTCTTCGACGAAAATTTAAAAAAGGAGTACACTTTAATAACTTACATAATACAACAGAGATGGACAAACAAAGAAATAAGATTAATAATGAAGAAGAAGATTAAAAAAAAAAAAAAAAAGGAAGAAAAGCATGGGATTCTAGATTCTTCTTATCATCATCAAGAGCCTTGGAAAACAAATACGGGTCGGGCCGATGAGATGATCCATTCAAACAACAATATCACCCATGATGATTATGATCAACTCAAATCCATTACTTGGATTTGAAGGGAATTGCCCTAATCACAACAGTGTGGTAAAGTGCTGCCAATGCTGCTCCAATGAATGGTCCCACCCAGAAGATCCACTGTACAAAAGACGTTAACACAATTATTAGAGAAAAATATAGTCATATGAAACTATGTACAGTAGAAAGCGTGAATATAAAATGTTGCAAGTATTAAGAAACAAATAGTCCGTATGATGTAGGAAGCTAATGACCAAGGAATCGATTAAACTAATCAAAGGGTCTTTGTCTTAATCTTTAATTAGCATAGTAGTAGGTAAACATTAACTTCAAAGACAGCATCATCTCCACCAAATCTTTAATATTCCATTCAGTATATGTTTGACAACTAACCCACATGGGTATCATAGTATAGTAGGACAATGATATGAACAAAAAGAAGATTAGGTTAATATTTGCCAAATGCCAAACTGTTATTGGACCCCATCTTTTTTCTTTATATAATAAGCTTTTCATGAGCATTACTACCTTATCTCTTTGTTATACAAAATTTGATAGATTCCTTATCCCTATTCATTCTATTGTGGTTCAATTTATGACTTTTTTGTGTTGCCCATTATTAAAATGGGCCTTATTATATGGCCTTCTCAAAACAATCAATTTCCCACCACTCCTTTTTATAAAGGTATCAAGACTTCAAGAAAAGTTGATTAGTGTAAATAGGTTTCCAACGTATATATTAAGTTAACTTTTGAAAAAATAATTACCGTTTAAGGTAAGTTAGGTGACTCACACTTTGTACAGTTACTTATCTATACGACTATACATACTTTTGTCTGTGGTATGCACCAAGGCAAAAAGTTGTGCGAGGGTTGAAACATTGTCTAAAATAACTAAACATCTTACACATACGCGAAAATGTGGTGTGTAAGATAGACTAAGGGTGTATGATATGCGTCTGATAAATTATTGTGAAACGAGTGTGACTATGTAGTATGTACCATATTAGAATGGACTTGTAACATGTTCCAGGAATTATACTTGTAATTTGTACATGACATTTTAGAATATAGGTTAGTTTGTGACATTTTCACCACAAGAATTGCTGGTACATGAATGATACAAATTTGATCAAATGGAAAGTTTTAAGCAAACTTACGTGGTCGTTCCAGTTGTTAAGGTGCTTGTTGTAGATGATGGCAGTTCCAAGACTCCTAGCAGGGTTGATACCAGTTCCGGTAATGGGGATGGTGGCCAAGTGAACCAAGAACACAGCGAACCCGATTGGAAGGGGAGCCAAGATCTGTAAAACATTGTTTCATACCATTAACTCAAGCTCATATAACATAAATTTAATCAACATCATAAGACTGCAAAGTGACTAATAAAAACAGCATATAGCACTTACAGGAACATGAGAGTCCCTGGCGCTTCTCTTGGCGTCAGTGGCAGAGAAGACGGTGTAGACAAGGACGAAGGTGCCAACAATCTCAGCACCAAGACCATCACCCTTGGTGTAACCATGGTGAACATAGTTGGAACCACCGCCTCCGGCTTGGTAAGGAGTGGGTTGGAATCCCTTGACAACACCAGCACCGCAAATGGCACCCAAGCATTGCATGACCATGTAAAAGACTGCTCTTGTCAAAGACAATTTCCTTGCCAAGAACAATCCCAATGTCACAGCAGGGTTAATGTGACCTCCTGTAATACACCATCATTCATGTTTTCACTAGTTAGCTACTGTACTTGATAGATCCATACACATTTCCATAAACAACATTAATCTTTGTTTGGTTTATATAACTTTACATTTACTTGATTAGTGATTATGCATCAAACTAGTTGAAAATTTTCTAAAATTTGCAATCCAAGATCCTACTGATAATAAGCTGAATTCTTTTGATTATTCCGTTTCTAAAAATAGTATACCGTGGATGTCAACTACCCAAATCGGTGTAAATACTGAAATCAAATCCCGACTACATCACTAGATTCATACCTTATGTGACTGGACCCAAAAAAATAAATTGTAACGCTAAGATAGTCCGTACATGCCTTCGATTTTAATTCTAAACTAGAGTGTATAGTACAGTACAGTTTATAATGCTCAAAACTAAATAAACAACACCCAAAAAACATTGTATTAACCCAAAATAACCCACTAAACAAAACAAATAACACCCAAAAAATTTGTATTAAACCAAAATAACCCACTAAACTAACATCTAAAACTTCCAGTTCCCACAACATATAATACACCAACTCCAGAACTTTTTTTACAAATTCTACCAATATAGTAGTATAATATGCATCTAATTTAAAATTAAAAGTATAAATTACAAAGCTAAAATCAAAAGGAATGGAAAAAATTACCAGAAATTCCAGCAGTACAGTAAACAAGGGCAAAGATCATTCCACCAAAAGCCCAAGCAATACCCTGAATACCAACAGTCTGACACTTATTATCAGCACGACTGTAACCCATAACAGTCAAAATACTGATGTAAAGAAACAAGAA